TGATTGTCCATTGTCACTCAGCTGTGTATATCTTTCATCAGCTTCGCTCTTTAGTTACCCGACCCATACTCCGCATCTCTGTCTATTCAGCTCTACAACGCGGCATCGCCTAACTCCTAAACCTTGCGAGTGGCATGCACTCCTGGACGTGCCGCCGACATGGATCATGTGGTTCCTGCATCAGGGCAATGGCAAAAAGTAGGTGTCGGAATAAAATAAATAAGTTTGGTCAAGCGCCCTTTTTCCCTTCTTCTTGTCTAGAAAGGTTAATCACGCGAACATTGGGATGCTTTCATTCAAATATCTTGCTTCCAATCCATCCATCATCCATCAGCTCGTCCTTGGATCGCGGACGCTCTACTGTTTGTCAAGAGTCCGGACAGCTTCTCATTAGCTGCTGTGGTGGTATCGAACGTTTATTGCATGACCTATGGTTGTAAAGTCAGTGATTGGACGCGCCAGCTAGGTCTAGAGAGTGCATACCTTTTCTCTCAACATGCCAATAAACTGAGCAGAGCTGACAGCCATGTCGGCACGGTCCTCGATAAGAAGACTTTGAGCCCACAGTCTGAGACTAGGGTCGCCGTCTTCGCGCACAAGGTATAAAGATGGTACTACGATGCTGCCGCAGCCCTTGGCACGATGGTCTCGGCTCTTCTCGACCACGGCGCGCACACGCTCGTTCATCTCGCTGTCTATGATGGGTAGCGAGGTCTTGCCCTGCTTCAGTGCGTTCTTGTCATCAGTGCCAAACACATCCATGATCAATGCTGGGACGGCGTCACGTCCAAGCCACAAGAACTGTGTCTGACCATCGTCGATAAGGTAGAGACCGAAAGGAACGACGTTGGCTGAAGTCAAGTTGAGCGGAGGAGGCAATGCGATAGCGCCAGTCGTCGGGTCGGGAAGACCGGCAGTCTCGGGCATGTCGTGCAACGAGTACAGACGAGGGTAAATGTACTGGATCATCAGAGGCAGGGGGAGCGTCGAAAGTAAACACAAGGCTGCAGAGCGGAGATCGCTAGGGATCTGGGCAGACTTGCGGAGACCAAGCTACGGTCATGTTAGTATAGAAATTCCGACCTTGCAGTATGCAACACTTACGTTTTTTATAAGACCCAAGAATAGAGTTGGCAGACCTCTAAGGTTCACAGGGAATTGAAGACCACCGCCACCCATGTTACCACCTGCAAGCTCCTTCTTGTACGTTTGGAGAAGCTCGATGATCTTGGCTTGAAGGGCATCTCTGGCAGCATCAAGACCGCTAGACAGAGCTCTCTCGACCGCCTTGTGACTGAAGTACACCGCAATGGCTTGTTGATCAGCACTTGAGTAGACATCTGCCAGGTTTTGCGTGGTAGGGATCGAAAGCGTCATGACACGGATACGGCGCTCGCCATTACATGTTGTATGCAAGACACCGGCCTGTAGGCAGACAAACTGTTTTGTGACTGATTCATCGATGGCAATCTCAACAACGTATGCCTGGTCGCGAGGGAATGCAGGGAAGGCGCAGAGGTCTGAACTACGGTTGAAGAAGTTGCCGTAGAAAGTGCTTGGGCGCAAGCCAGTGGTGGCTCTGACACGCAACACGGCCTCCAGACCGATCTCTGAAGACAGGTAATCGCTGAACTCCGTTGCAAACTTGATGGCATCCTCGGTACGGGCTGCGCTCCAAGCAGGGTAGAAATACGTTTGACCTCCAGTGTACCTGGGCAAGTTGCTAAGAGAAGCGACATCCTGGTACTGTGAAGAGAAGAGNAACATATCGATCGAAACCTGAGTTTTTGAACACTCGACTGCGAAACTCTTGTAGAAGGCGTTGGCGGTCTGCAGCAACGAACTCTCCTTGCTTGTTCCGAGAAGCTTCTTGTCTTCTCTCATGTCAAGCTTGCCGTAACCGTGGTTGGGTAGGGATGCAGTAAGGACAACCATCTTTCCACCGACATGAGAAATCATCTTGTGTCCAGCACGCATAGCCGATCCCATAGCTGAAAGACCGTTCTGAGTGCTCTGGAACATGGACTGAAGCTTGCCGAGGAAAGTCTCGATGTTTTGACGGGAATCGGCCAAGCTGACAAGAAGACCATCAGGTGTGGGAAGGAAAGGCTCGTCGAGATCGCTAACAACCAGCATGTTTGAGTCGGTAGTACCGCTGTCATCGCGGGGGATGGTGAAGTAGTGCAAGCTCGAATCGACGGCCATGAAGGCCAGGCGGGTTCTGCGGTCGGCGTTGGGAATGCGATCGAGGGACTCGGCGACACAGCGAGCGGCAGTGGCAAGGAGGCCACTTTGGACCGAAGCGACACTGACACCGAACAAGAAGAGGTATACCAAAGGCTGCGGGGCCCTGACCATGTACTCTTGAGGAGCAACAAACTCCATGACAGAGTAGTTGAGCTCGGGTCGCTGCCAGCGATCAATGGCTTGCTGCTTCATGTTATCCCAATCAAAGGCCTGAGGAACGTCGTTGGTCAGGTTGCACATGTTGCAGCGCCATCGGTGGCTGTGGTCGAGGAAAGTGGCAAAGGGATTGATGTAGGTACGGCATCTACGACATCTTGCAATGACCTGGTCGGGCTGGACAGGCACGTCGTCTTCGGCATCGTGGAGGGTAGCGTAGGGCTGGATGACGAGGGCGAAAGGAAGCTTGGCCTTCTTGAGGAGGGAGTTTGTCGAAGGAATAGCGTTCAGTGTCGAGCGGACGTACTTGGGTGGGCAGTTGGCGTTGGGCGAGGGGGTCACGCTGGANCTATGGCACACGTCAGTGATCGATTGAAGACCAGAGCGAGGCAGACATACGTTAGGAGGCAGAATGATAGGAGGAGGNGGCAGATCCAGATCCGACACATGGAAGGGAGCACCCTGAACACTAATGTCGACAGGCTGAAGAGGGTTCAGACGTTGGGCGACAGGGGCGGCCTGCTGGGGAGCTTGTGCGGGTTGCTGTTGTTGCGGAGCCATGCCCATCTGCGCGAACTGCTGTGTCACTTGAGGCACTCCCCCTGGGGCGGCGCCGTATGCATCGGGAGGCTGGTATCCAGCGGCGGGAGCGCCATATGCTGCAGCAGGCTGCTGCTGTTGAGGATCAGGGTAGCCTGCGGGCTGTTGGACCGGGGCACCGTAGCCATAGGCAGCGGCAGGTTGAGCGGCACCGTAAGCAGCGGCAGGAGGAGGAGTCTGTGTCGCGGGCATGCCGGCATTGGCGCCGGTGCCGAACTCGAAAGCCTGGCCAGCATAGGCTCTCTTCTTCTTTGCTGGCACTTGGGAAGGAGCAGGCACGGGGGTGCCGGACTGCGATTGGTCGTAGTCTTCCTGCGAATAGCCCTGGGCAGGGTATCCTTGGGGGTTGGCCATGATGGTGATATGTGAGGCCGACGGCGAGATGCTGCGGCGGAATAAGACGTGATCAGCTCCGGGTTATATAGAAGGTATAGTTATTACTGCACACCTCGCTCGTAGATTGTCTGGGGCACTTGGACAGCTGGAGCCCATCTGGCCAATGAACGCGACCGACCCTTCCCCACACGTCATCTGGACCATTCTTCTCCCTCGAGCCTTCTCACTCCTACTCGTACAGGCAACAACATTGCTGATGCCAACTTGCTTCTTGGATATGACTACCTATTCATTAGTTGACAAATTGCTAGACAGAATGTGAATCGAGCCTCGTGGATCAGCATCAAGACATTTTGGAGCTCCACGACCAAGTTCATCGCAAGCTTCCTCGTTCATTCACGGTGTCTTCACAGAACTCGCACCCTCATCATGGAACACGCTCCACGAATCGCGCTCCACAAGCAAAACGTATATGCTCAACACGCATCTACTTACAGAGGATAGTGTGAAATCATAAGTATCCCCACAGGGAGTATCAGTGGCACATGTACTCGTCGAAGACCAGAGATATTTTCGTCAGGGTGGTACTCTCAGCAACAAGACTTGGTCAACATAGCTTGGCGCTGTCATCACCACACTCACAGATGTAACGACATTAACAATGGAAGTTCGATGGGCAAAGGCGACATGAGCTTATACACACTCCTGTATAGGTGTGATACTAGCGTAGCAGTCTTCTCCACTTCCCAGTCCAGAGACCAGGAGAGCGATGAAGACCGCGATAAAAATTGAAAAAGCAGATAGATGGCAAGATGAATGGCAGTACCTACGGCGTTAGTCTAGGTGGTAAACTGTGTTCAACATAGATCGACCCGAACGATTGCAGTATCTACGGCGTTAGTCGTACGTGATCAGATAAATGGCAGAAGAAATGTATCCAGTGAGCACGAGCACCGGGAGGAATAGATAGCAGTAACTACCACATTAGAGGCTCAGGGCGCCCGAAGGGTCCCTCTTGACTTCGCTTCCCCATCACCCTGAGGGTTACCGGCCGGTGACATGAACACGAGCATGCCCCTCCTGGCCCCTATAATCGGGTGCGTACTAGTCTGTCACACGACGAAGACGTGGAGCCTGTTGTGACAGGAGATATGTGAATGGGAAGGGAAGGAATGCAAACCATAGAAGATGTCTGACGACTGAGATTTGGCGGAGGTTGTGGATGAAAAGAAGGAAGGACAGATGGGAGGTCTGGGGCCTTTATATAGTCGACGATGTAGCATTTGCTGACATGAGCGAGCGAATGATCCAGGCTGCAACATCAGAGAGTCGGCAGCCTGACTGGTCGTGATGCGATACTAGAGGTGGACTGAGCAAGTTACTGAGCAAGTTACCTTAGTGGGGATTTGGTTGGATCCGAGGGGCCGAGACACAGGACGGGAGCGGCCGGCCTGTCAAATCAGGGGCGAGCATGGTAATGTGACCGACATGACAATGGGCAGACGAATGCTTGCTGCGAGAAGAGGTCGAGATTGAGGTGAAGACTTGAATATTGATCAAATATCGTCGAAGAAAGATGACGCAGACTGGGTATATAGAAAGACGCTCAAGAACGTAAAGTCGTAGAAACGAGATAGAGGCGAAACAAGAAGATAGCATGTCTAAATGGCTTGTTTATCAACGTCCATAAGGTCGTCGGATGTCGAGGCAGTGGTGGTTGCCTGTGGCGTCGAGGTATCACTCATGTCCAAGGGAGTGGCGATGGTAGAGATATTTTCAGGCCCTTGAGTCCGCCGCCGCACTTTTAGTGGCTCAGAGCGTGTGTATGGATTGTCAAATCCATCCGAATCGGTGTCGGTATCCAGGGCCTCTGACCGTAACCGCTTGCGAGGATTGGATTGCGCGGGTGACGAAGGCGTGAAAGCGTAAGGGCGAGATGCAGGTTTCCAGCGCATGCGACGCAACCGACAAGCAAGAGCAGCAGAGTCAGAATCTTGAGTGTTTTCTTCATCATCTTCATTTTCTATCTCATGGGGGAGGTCGACATGACCGCAATCTGCAGCAGGAGTGTCGACCTCCTCGAGCTCGTATGGATGCAAGACTTGGCCGTAATTGGTATAATCCACGTCGTTCTCTAACAGCTCTTCTACATCGAAATCGTAGTCGTTCTGTGAGGCTGAGCTAGGCTTGGACGGCGAAGAATGCCAGACAGTGAGAGAGTCCGGCGCATAGAGTGGTGCAGGTCCGGAACACGCGGAGCCAAAAGGCGATGGAGGGAGGCGCGAATCGACTGCGACATGATTTGCCATGGTCCCATTCAAGGCCGAGGGTTCGTGGAAGCAGCGGAGGCTCTATCAAGGAGATGACGAGATAGATGAGAATGGTCGATTGTAGGCAGGAGGTGGCATCATGCAGGAAGGACAGGATAACTTTTTGTCGAGAACGCTGAGTGACACGTAAAGAGACAGTCTAGAGACTACGAAGATGAGTGGTGAACATTGTGGTTTTGGTTGACTTGGTCGGACGAGAGGTATGACGACGGAGCATGGACGAATGATGGGGAAGCCTAGAGACTCTGATGGAAATGGAAGGGAGGCCTGTGGGGAGGTGGTCTCGATAGGAGTCAGCCGACTGCTAGCACATGTCTGTGAATGGAAAGAGGTGAGCTTCCTAACGAGATTGCTGGAGCAAGCACTTGCAAGACGTGGTCAATCAGGCAGGAGCAGAGGGGTTCAGTGGGTGCAGGCATTGGAAGGAGCGAGGGCGGCTTGGCACAACGTGGAGAAGTCGCGGCGTGTCAGGGATGGATTCAGGGCGAAATAGAGGATACCGTAGCTGTTGTAACTGTCCATTCCATCTTCTACCAACTCCACCAATTCACCCTCACCCGCTGCTCCGTCGTCGCCAGCTGCTGCGCATCCGACAAGTCTCCCTCTAGCAATTGCGCACAGCCCGTACCTCGATGTGTGAAGCTGCGGCTTCGGCTCTATAAATACTCCATCAACATGTCGTCCAACACATATCCCACCATGCTCACAAAGGTCCGCCCAACCCTCTGCCACCGAAGCGTGCCTCAAGCCTAACCTGCTACAGNNTTCGAGTCCAAGTCGTCGAGAGCAAAGGGCATTGCCTTCCATCCCAAGCGGTGCGTTTCCCAACCAAAACAACCCACATCTGCCACCGTGCTGATCATACACANNAGACCATGGATCCTCGTCTCTCTCCACTCTTCGACCATCCAGCTATGGGACTACCGTATGGGTACCTTGATTGATCGCTTCGAAGAACACGACGGCCCCGTACGAGGTGTCGATTTCCACAAGACGCAACCGCTCTTCGTGTCCGGCGGTGACGACTACAAGATCAAGGTCTGGTCGCTCCAGACTCGCCGCTGCCTCTTCACCCTCAACGGCCATCTCGACTATGTCCGCACCGTCTTCTTCCACCACGAGCTTCCTTGGATCATTTCGGCTTCTGACGACCAGACCATTCGCATCTGGAACTGGCAGAACCGCTCGCTGAGTACGCTGGCCCATTCCTCCTTGTGCTAGAAGCTTTTCTCTAACAATGTTTTCGTAGTCTGCACCATGACTGGCCACAACCACTACGCCATGTGTGCCCAGTTCCACCCCAAAGAAGACCTTGTCGTTTCTGCCTCGCTCGATCAGTCGGTCCGTGTCTGGGACATCTCAGGCCTCCGCAAGAAGCACTCGGCTCCTACCTCGATGACTTTCGAAGACCAGATGGCCCGCGCCAACGCAAACCAGGCAGATATGTTCGGCAACACAGACGCCGTTGTCAAGTTCGTGCTCGAGGGCCACGATCGTGGTGTCAACTGGGTTTCTTTCCACCCCACCCTGCCGCTGATTGTTTCAGCCGGTGACGATCGCTTGATCAAGCTCTGGAGAATGAGCGAAACAAAAGCTTGGGAGGTGGATACATGCAGAGGTCACTTCCAGAACGCTTCAGCCGCTTTGTTCCATCCTCATCAGGACCTGATTCTGTCGGTTGGCGAAGACAAGACCTTGCGCGTTTGGGATCTCAACAAGCGCTCTTCGGTTCAGTCGTTCAAGCGTGAGAACGACCGTTTCTGGACTATTGCTGCTCATCCTGAGATCAACCTTTTCGCCGCCGGCCACGACAACGGTGTCATGGTCTTCAAGCTTGAGCGTGAGCGCCCTGCTTCGGCCGTCTACCAGAACAACCTCTTCTACATCACAAAGGACAAGCAAGTCCGCTCCTACGACTTCACCAAGAACATCGAGAGTCCTTCGATGCTCTCTCTCAAGAAGCTTGGCAGCCCCTGGGTACCTCCACGTGCAATCTCATACAACCCTGCAGAGCGCGCAGTTCTGGTCACCTCCCNNCCTGCTGATGGTGGCTGCTATGAACTGATTAATCTGCCCAGAGACGCTTCAGGCGCCGTAGAACCTACTAACTCTCTGCGCGGCACCGCAACCTCGGCTGTTTTCGTCGCCCGTAACCGCTTCGCTGTTTTCAACCAGCCTAATCAGCAGATTGACATTAAGGACCTCCAAAACTCTACCACCAAGACCATCAAGCCTCCGCCAGGCACCGTCGACGTCTACTTTGGTGGCACTGGCTGCTTATTGCTCATCACTCCCACGACGGTTGTTCTTTACGACATCCAGCAAAAGAAACAGCTTGCCGAGCTCGCTGTCAACGGCGTAAAGTATGTTGTCTGGTCCTCTGACGGTCTGTACGCCGCTCTGCTTAGCAAGCACAACGTGACTATTGTCAACAAGTCTCTGGAACAGGTCAGCACGCTGCACGAGACCATTCGCATCAAGAGCGCCGTCTGGGACGATACTGGTGTCCTTCTTTACTCGACTCTCAACCACATCAAGTACACTCTCATGAACGGCGACAATGGTATTGTCCGCACCCTCGACCAAACCGTCTACCTCGTTCGCGTCAAGGGTAGAAGTGTTTATTGCCTCGACAGAGCCGCCAAGCCTAAGGTTATGACCATTGACCCAACAGAATACCGTTTCAAGATGGCTCTTGTCAAGAGACACTACGATGAGATGCTGAACATCATCAAGAACTCGAGTCTTGTTGGTCAGAGCATTATCTCTTACTTGCAGAAGAAGGGATACCCCGAAATTGCTCTTCAGTTCGTTCAGGACCCCCAGACCAGATTTGAGCTGGCCATTGAGTGTGGGAACCTTGAGGTCGCTGTTGAGATGGCCAAGCAGCTGGACCGCCCCAAGCTCTGGCAACGCTTGAGCGCCGAGGCTCTGGCTCATGGCAACCACCAAGTCGTCGAGATGACCTACCAGAAACTTCGCAACTTCGACAAGCTCTCTTTCCTGTACTTGTCAACTGGTGACGAATCAAAGCTACACAGAATGGCCAAGATTGCTGAACACCGTGGCGACATGACTTCTCGCTTCCAAAACTCCCTCTACCTTGGTGATGTCCAGACCAGAATCGACATGCTCAAGGAAATCGACCAGTATCCTCTTGCCTACCTGACTGCCAAGGCCAACGGCATGGAGGAGGAGTGCCAAAACATCCTTGAAGCTGCCGGGCTCACAGAAGACCAAGTCACTATGCCTGATACTGGCAAGCCGCTCTCAACGCCACCTGTCATTGTTCCTACCTTCCAGTCAAATTGGCCCGTCAAGTCGTCTGGTTCATCTTCGTTCGAGAAGGCCTTGCTTGCCGATGGTGGTGCCGAGGAAGTTGTGCCCGCAACCAACGGTTACGACGCCGACTTCCTTGAGGCTGAGACCGCGGTCCCTGAGGATGCTGCCGACATTGAGCAAGAAGACGATGAGGATGCTGCCGGTTGGGACATGGGTGATGACAGCTTCGCCGAGGCTGAAGAAGAATTCGTCAACGTTGAGACCGTGGAGGCAGGCGCTGGTAGCAGTGAAGCGGATGTTTGGGCACGCAACTCACCAGTCGCTGCTGACCACGTCGCCGCTGGATCTTACGAGTCTGCCATGAATCTTCTCAACAGGCAAGTAGGCGCTGTCAACTTCAAGCCTCTAGAAGCTAGGTTCGAGGAGATTTACACTGCTTCGCGTACCTTCTTGCCGGCGAATCCTGAATTGCCGCCTCTTGTCAACTATGTTCGCCGCACACTCAAGGAGACCGACTCACGAAAGATTCTGCCATTCGTTCCTGGTGATCTCGAGACGATAACCACGACCGATTTGCAAGCAGGAAAACAATCAATGCAGAAGAACAAGCTCGAAGATGGTGTCCAAATATTCCGCAAGATCTTGCAGACCCTGATCGTCAACGCTGTCTCATCGCAAGCACAAGTTAACGAGGTATGTTGAGCTGGAACATGTCATGGAGATTATAGTACTAACAGCTATCAGGCAAAGGAGCTTATTCAGACAGCCGCACAATACGTTCTTGCTATGTCGATCGAGTTGACCCGCAGAGAGCTTGTTGGAGGCACCACGGATTTGAGCTCTTTCTCTGAAGAGGACAAGAAGCGAGCTCTTGAGCTGTCGGCTTACTTCACAATTCCTGCCATCGAGCCACAACACCAAACTTTGGCCTTGTTCACTGCAATGAACTTCGCACACAAGAACAAGCAGCTGAGCAGTGCCCTCAACTTTGCCAATGCGCTGATTGAGAGAGGAACAAATGCTCGTTTCAAGGAGAACGTAAGTTTAGATCAACCGTATGTTCAAAGTTCATGCTAACATGATGCTCCAGNNGCAAAGAAGGTCAAAGCTGTTTGCGAGCGCCAACCCGGCGATGCGGTCGAGATCGAGTATGACTCGTTCGCCGAGTTCGATGTTTGCGGTGCTTCATACACCCCGATCTACAGCGGCGAACAAAGCGTAAGCTGCCCCTACGATGGCGTCAAGTATCAAGCACAGTACAAGGGTACAGTCTGTAAGGTGTGCGAGATCTGCGCCATCGGAGCGCCGGCTAGCGGTTTGAGGTTGACTGTTTAATCTGCTATCGAGTCGCCAGGGGAGGCTTGGTAAGGTGTTGAGTGGGTAAAAGAAGCTGTGCTGTTTTTGTGTAGGCTATCGCAACCAGTATTCTTGCATAACGATTGGAACGGAGTCCACGTCATGAACGTTGTAGTGATTGCGCAGTCTCTGCCTTGTCGTAATCTCATCCACCGTTTTGATATGGTTGTTCGCCGTTTTTGTGGTGTGGAAGTCAACGGTCCCCAGCCTTATTTTCCCCCTACTTTCCACTTCCACGTGCGACAAGCCGAGTCTGGATCTTGTCAAGTTTGAGTTCATTCAAACACGACTGTACGATACAGCAGACCATACCTGAGATAGTCGCGACCTCAATCGCACGG